GACTTCATTTGGCAACAGTTCCCAAGTTGTTCATGGAAAGTGCTCATTTGTTCAGCCATTTCCTGTCTACTCATTCCCCCTCTCAATTTGAAACACTGTAATCCTTTCTACATGCTTCCTTCACTGTGTTACTAACATTATTGTTACAGATCAAAAGAGAGCTTCCTCCTTAAAAGTTTCATTCCCCATCTGTGGAAAGTGTGAGGCAAATCCTTTCACGCAGTCTGATGATATGTGCATCCTGACAGTTTTCACTGTTGCTGGGGCTTTGAAACCCATAGTCCGTTGCATTCGTACATTGAAAGGAGCCAGGTTTGTCAGTTATAAAGGTACTTTTTGCAGCCTTTGAAGTGGACAACATATTGCTCGAACTCCCAGAATTGTTTTCAAAGGCTGCAAGAAACAGCGGTAAAACTGACAAGCTTCCACAGAAATATGGACGTATCCCCTTCACTGCAGAGATGTAAGTGACAAGATCATCAACAGTTTCACTGATTAGATCACAGGTGTTCTAAATATAACTAAGTTTATCTCTCTGAATTTCTCTACTTGTAAGATTGGTGCATACTTGTTCTTCACGTTCTCTGTTTGTGACAAAATACATGCATTCACACACACACACACACACCCCGCCTTCCATTCTGCTTCACCACAGAGTAAATTTTAAGGGCTTTTAGTTGGACATAACTAATCCTGTCTCAGTGCAAGGGGCTGAACTAGGTGACCTTAGAATAGCTTTTCATATATTAATTTCTGGTATCTTCTCTCACACCCATGCACATAAGTGTAATTCTTCCAAAGGAGGTGATCTAGCATCTCTTTTTCTAATTATGCAGTTCCAGAGATTTGACGACTCATTAGGGACTCCACTGGAGAATGCATGTGCCACCACTTGACATGTATTAACTTTCTTTTGCCTAGAGCTATTAGACTCTGACCTACAAAATCTATACTGGGCTGAAAATTCTAACACTTGCCAGGCTACACGTATTTGCTTCATGTAAGAATGTTGCACTGCATTAATTTACTTCTAATTTTACACAGATTCAAGGAAATCTGACTGGAAATATGTCTCAAAATGTGCAAGTATCCAAGCTATTGTATCTTGAAGTACTTTAAAGACCACAAGGCATATCAAGAAGGTCATGATACCATTATTTTTACATCTTCTAAGAAACTATCTATTTTCATAGCTGGTCTGTTGCCATAGTATCTGAGTCACCATGACCCATTTGCAGAACTTCAAGTGTCTGAAAAAAACCCCCAAAAGTTTCTTACTAAATAACTTTATCTATATCTTAATGAAAAATGAATTTATTTAAAGAAATCAAAATTGTAATCAGTGGGGATAAGAATGAAAAACAAAGCCACAACCATTGAATAACAAATATTATATTTTTATATTTTGTTTTATTTTATTTGCATTTCAGTGTTGGATACTCTCTGAAATAATTTTGCTTAAATGTTGTACACCCTTTGCTAATCATTATTATTTTCTTCTAGGGCTTTCAAATCCTCCTCTTGTTGGTTCCATTTCCATTTCTTACTGAACCGATCACAGATTGTTGTTGTTGCTGCTGTTGTTATCACTCTTGACCAATTTTTTTAAATGGAATTAGGTATTTGCTCAAAAATGCCTTAGATTTGAAAATGTAATTGCGAGGTCCTTGTCTTGCATCCAAACAATTATGCATCCCAACCAATTGCATCCCAACCAAACTGAACCCTGGGTGCCTTTGAGTGTAGCAAAATGACTGATGAACCTACTATGTTGCGGAACAGGGATGGGGAAACTTTTTCAGTCCAAGGGCCTCATCCCCTTGTGGACCACTTTCCACATGCCAGCAGTTGGTGGATCAAAGTGGGTGGAGCAACAGATATGGCTGCTTCTTTTGTACATTTGGCTGCATTCCAGCCACCCAAAAGTAAGAGCTTTCTACACTCATGTATTTTCTCCCTCCCTCCACCCCTCCCTCTCTTACACATCTCTCCGGCTTCCATTCAGGCAACCAAAGGCATCATCACAGCTCTGTTAAGTATAATTGTTAAATGTGCATTGAAATGGGAAATTATTATACAATGTATCTGTATTGTATACTGTGAGGCATGACTGGAAATCTCCATGAAGCTGAAGAAGAGTATACCAAGTTAATCATTAACAGCGCTATATCATGGGACTGTATCTCTGCTGGCTCAGCCACAAGGTGCATAATGTCACATGAAAGAGATAGTATTGCAGGTCTATGCATATGCTAATTTGGTAGGCATCCATGTTTGGGTGTGAGCTCTTTGTTCCAAGCTGCTAAAGAGAATGGGCATTTTAATCTCTGCCTCCAGTAAACAACCAGAAGCTAATGGAATATGAAATGGAGGAGTGATGGAGCTTTGATTTTATCTCAGGATGTGAGATGTTTGTAATCTTAGTTATCTCGCCTTATGCTAGCACCAGTATAAGAAATTATGCAACTAAGTGAATATATTTTTTAAAAAAGTTGTTTGATGTTAAGTTTTGTAAGTAAAGCCTTTGAACCATATTCTTGGACTGGAATTTTTTTTATTTCTGTACTACTGTCAGTTTTTATTCATCCAATGGCTTCCATATGCATAATAATGATGATCATCATCATCATCTCAGAAAGTTCAAGGATATTTCAGCCAGGCAAAAGCACTCAATAAGGGTGCAGAGCATGGCTGGTGAAAGGTATAGCTTGGGGAGAAGGGTGTGATCTGGAGGACTTGATGGTCTCTATCCCTGTTGTAGAGTGATGGATACAAATCTCTCTCTCTCTCTTCTCCCTTCTGCCTTCTATTCAATGCAATAAATGGATTTTTGTATGAAAATAGCCATGCCTGTTTATTGACTTGGAAAATTAATTATTTTAAATTAATGTGCTTCTGCACCAAACTCGTCATTCAGTGTGTTAATTCTGCCAAACACATGTTTGAGATTTATAGAGAACCTTTTAAAACTACTTTTGGCTCACTCTAATAGCACACGTTTTGCAGATCTGTTCTAAGCAGAAGGAAGGAAAAGGTCACAAGGCAAACTGGGACCACCTGGCCGCCACTTCTATACATTCAGCACCACTGGCCAAATGTCTACTGAAAAGCTGCTATCCAGGCCCCAAACAGCAGCTAATTGATTTTGAATGTTTCCATTGTAATCACTTTAGCCTGAAGAATGCCCTTCCTGCCATGAAATTTCTTAGGAACACTTGTTGCTTCAGACTGCAATTCAGAAAGATTTTATTTGGTGTCGTTGCTCTTTCTATTACCATGTAAAAACACACCAGGGATTTGGAAACCGGCTACACAAGAAAGCCAAGACAGAGAGTGTGAATGTTATTTGTGAAAAGGGGAAAACATTTTCCAGTGTTTTACATCTGAGTATTATCTGAATGCCAAAAAGAGGAAAAATCTTAGAATGCCTTGAAGTTATACTGTGTCATGACATTATCTCATTCAGGGGTCTTTGGAGTAGATCTGTCAGTTTCAGTTTCTCTCTCTAGCTCATTTCTCCAATTCAGAATTCCAATTTATTTTTCAAATTCACAAACAAAGCAGTTTGTAATTTTTTTAAAATAAAGGAGTCATAAAAATTCATTAGCATTTTGGTGGGAATTTCAATTTTGCTAAATACACAGAATATTTGCTAAGCTATTTTCCCTAATATAATACTCCCTGTAATAGCCAGGCACAAACCCTTTGGTCTCTAATGCTATGTTGTACATCAGGAAAAGTCCATGAGTAGAATTTTGTGGATTTGGCCAAATATCTACCTACTCCAGGATTCAGTTTCTAACAGTGGCCAGTCAGTTGGAGCAGTCTAAATTTGTGCAGAATCCTCATACCAGCAGCAAAATTTCCTGGTGGCCACTAGCACAGAAGCTCTTCTAATCATCTTGATCCATATTATAAACAACATTCAAACATTATAGCGCCTTGATGGAGCACTGCAAGATAGTAGTATCATATTTTAACCAGATAATTGGCCAAGAGAGTTGCACTGTATATAGGACAATGCCAGGGATGGATGTAATGGAGCCACCTACCAATAGATTTCTGATCATCATAAGTTCTAAAAGCAACCAAACCAAGGTATTTGGATAATACGGATGTATATGGCAAATAGTAATCTCTTATAAAGTGGAATGGTAGCTGGCTTTTTTTTTTATAGCCTCTATGAAGGAAAACAAAAAGCATCAAGGATGAACAAACATGAAACTATCATAAATCTAGCCTGTCCCAGTCCACAAAAGTCCATTTCTGTGCAAATTCCACTCTTTGTATTTACTTCTCCCTTTATTTATACATCAGTGGAACATAATGATCACTTAGCAAAGTTCTGTTCTCTCTCCTCTTTCTCTAACAAAAAGGCACCCATGATGAGAAGCATCTTTTCTTGGCATCTGACTAGCATTTCTGTAAAAAGAAAGAGGAAAAAAAGTTTACAGTATTGAATGGGGGAAACTGATCCTTTTCAGTGTCATTAGTCATGGCTCCTTGGGGACAGTCATGCTGGCTCGTCGCTCTAGTACAACATCAAGAGAGGAAGTGCCTTTGGTTTTTTTGTTGCCGACTCGCCGAAGGTACAGAAATTGCTTTTGCTATATCTCTCTCCCCCCTTTCTCTCTCCTCTCTCCATCCCTTTGTCTCTGGCTGAATAATGAAGCAACGGTTTCAGTTTTAGTGCTCTGGTGCTTTATCTTGTCGAAATAATGTTGCCATTGGTGCTGGTGTAAGCTGCTTTCCTATCCTCTTTGGCCACCCCCCCACCCCCCGCTTGTTCTGAGGGCTCTATTCGGGTGTGTAGTCTGGTGTTTTTCACTGATGAGTGATATTAAATTGCAGCTACAGTGGCACACAGCCCAGTGGCAGCTCATCTACCAGGGGCTTCTGGGCAGGGTGGCTGGCAGCCCCAGAAGGCTTAGTTCTGTTTGGATAAACTCCACCATCTTTTTGATGTTTGATCTCTGTTGCTTAGATTTGAAAACACAGGCGAGAGAGAGAGAGAGAGAGAGAAACAAAAGGTCTTCTCAAGCAGATTATGGCACTTATGGCTGCAGAGGAAGCAGCACAACAAATATTACTGCATGTAATATTTCAAGGGCTTCTTTTTCTAACTATGATTAGAAAGGGGATATCAGGAATTATTCCAAAGAATGTGGCATGAAGTTGACAGCCAGAGAGTTAGAATAAGCACTCCTTTCCTTAAAGAGCATGCAGACTTAGGGTGCATTCAGATGCAGGGAATTTTTGCCTTGGTTTTCCTGATTATAATGCTAGCTCTTCTGTCTCATTTTCTAATCTTCTAATGTTCCTGTAGGAGTGCAGTACCTGTTGCAGAACTGTGCCTTTTTGACCAATAGCATGCCACATTAAATTTCACTCATACCAGTGGGTGTGGGGTTGCACAACACCAAACATCCATGTCGCTATTCCCCCAACCTTTTCACACATGTGTGCTTCTGTTCTCCATGGAAATTGGCAGGAAAGAACTGTATGCTGGTAGAACATCCCAAATTTTCTCATTTGCTCCCAAGATTTCCTGCGCTTATAGGGTTGCAAATGGATTGTTTCTGGAACAAATGAACACAGAAATTATAACAGAACTTCCACTAGATTCCCCTGTATTTCCAGAAGTGGCTTTTATGTCATGTGAAAGCTCAAATGTAATACTGAAATGGACAATGAAATGTTGGGGGGATGGAATAAACTACCATCCAAATGCACCCTTGATAAGGGATACATAGAGAGAAGCATAGAAAATGCTAATAAAGAGAAAGAGACAAGCCAGAAGAATAGCAATTGTATTTTTTCTCATCGGGAAAAGAGACAAAGCACAACTAAGAAAGAGGTTCGTCTATTTTCCATTGAAGCCAACGACAACATAATTTGAATGATTCTAGCTTCTGCCCTAAGACTGAAATACCAAATATACTTACTAGAGAGTAAGTGCCATTGAAAACAGTGAGACCTACTTCTGAGACGAAGTATCCCTAGACTTGCACTACACAGTCTCCTGTCTTGAAAACTGCAGGTGCAAACTACAGAATTGCTTCCATCAGCATGGTTAAGCTGCATTAAAACCTTGGATTGTTTGAAGAAGTTCTATATAGAGTATAAACAGATATTTACATGCATATCTATGGAGAATCAGATTAGAGAAAAAAGTAAGAGTTCAAGAGAAACAGCTGAGGATCACTCCATAGCCTGAAGAAGTCCCAATTAAGTAGAATTACTGTTGCAATTAAGCAGAATCCTTGCCATTAATCACTGAACTCAAATACTCCCTTTGGGTAACACTCTTATTAAAGTTTCTTCATAGCTTATTTTCTTATCTGTCTAGAAACCACACGGATCCCTCCCCCCCAAAAGTAAGTTTCCGATATTGTCATGCGTACATATGCATCTAACTTTGAGCTAAGAGTGCTTCCAATGGAGTCAAGTGCATACTTACATTTTTGGAGTATCAGGTGCTAAATGAATAAGTAATTCTCCTTACCAGAAGTGTGATAAATTAAATGGAATGTTTTATTGCTGTGTGCTGGATCATGAGCTGGAGTCAAGCTTCAACTTTCCCACAGAAAAATGCAAGGAAGTTTAACATTGTGTTCAGCTCATGTTTGATTTTAATAGCAGGCCTTAATGTCTATGTCAGGAGCAAATGCAGAATTCAGGCTGGATAGATCTGGAGATTCACCAACTACAGCCAGATGCAAAATGGTGGCACAAGTAGACAGCAAAGCCTGACCACCATTACACCAAGAGGTGTGTCAGATTATTTTTTTATAGAATGGTAAAACAAACAAGAACTCTGAAGATAGCTCACTGTCAGAAGCTGTCAATGTGTTTTGCTTGAGGTAGTCTACCCAAGTCATCTCAAACCTGGTGCTCTCTAGAAATATGATTTGGACTACAACTTCCATGAACCCCAGCCAGCATGGCTGTGTTAGCTGGGACTGGTGGGAGTTGTAGTCCAAAACATGTAGAGGGCACTAGATTGGGGAAAGCATCAAAAAACAAAACAAAACAAAACAAAACAAAACCTTCATAGTAGAGTTGCATTACTAAAATCAATGTAATTTTCACTAACCTGCTTGTTCACATTATAATGAGTCTCACTCTTTTTTAAAATCCAGCATGTGGATATAAGTTGGATATTAATAATATATAGCTCATATGCAATGAAGCACATAGACATATGTTCAGCTTGGGGCAATAGGAATATGTAACAGTCTCCTCCACTGGTAGTATAATGGGAGTATGTATAACATTAAGAAATGTCAGGCCCAGAACTGCGATCATCTAGATCTGGATGCAGCTATCCTGTGTGGCAAGACACCAGGTTGACAGGCTGAATGGTTTCCTTTCAACTTCTACTTTGTATCACTTTCTTAAAAGTCTTTCAATATATCCTCTGTATGTAAAAGATCAGTAGCAAGAGCAATGCAAATGAGGGCAACATGGATGTTGCCACAACACAACACGTCTGTCAATAATTCTCTTCCAGAACAGGAGTTGAATGAGCACTGTTTCAACAGATGTAGTATCTAGATAATTGCTGTCAAAATTCCTTGGGACCAATATGATTAATCTTGTAAGTTTTCAAGACAAACCTCCCATGCTTTGCTACTTTCAGTGAGTGTCTTATGATAAACAAAATCTTATATCCACAATGACTATATTTGGATCCAGTAAAGATGCTATGAGGGAAATGTTATGTGTGCTCTTGTTAGTTCATGCAATGTTGGAAATGTACTTGGTCTTTTATTCCTTCTGAGGGCTCGAATACTGAATAATATTCAGCCATCTTGGATTTGTGCATGGTGAGCAGACATCATACTTGCAAGAGTGGCAACATGACTTTTCTGACACAGATAGATCATTTCTATCCGAAACAGAGTTTTGCTGTTTACATCAATGAGATGCCTATGATGTCAACAAAATCTATATAGCTTATTGGTCAGGGTATAACATGTTACTACACATACCTGATAGAGGATCAAGAAATACAGTCATGGTTTGCAGAGTGATATCTCAGACCAGGGGTCACCAATGTCCACAAATGTCCACAGATGCCTTCTATAGTGCCCACGGTGTCCTTTTCCTCCCCTGTACCCTCCACACTGACATTGGGCTTGAAAGAAGCACTCTTCTATAGCCAATGGAATCGACTGTGGTGTGTTCTTGGTTGGGAGGTATGTGTGGTGCCCAGAAGAGATTCTTTGGTTTGTAAATGTGCTCCCAGCCCCAAAAGGTTGGCAACTCCTGTTTTAGCCATCAGCTTCCAATAAACTAGCATTTTCCATTTGGCCTGCCTGTATTTCAGTTTATCTTTCCTAACAGTTCATTTGACAATAAGTAATATGATTATTAATCTTTCCTGTGTTTTTATAACTGTAGCTTTATGATATGCCAAGTGTTTAAAGTTCACATGACAGGTATAATGAAAGGTTTGGGAAGAAAACACATCATACAGTGGCGAGTTCAACATAATTAGTAGGTGGCAGCTCCTAAAGCTCACTTGGCAGAAATAAATGAGAGCCTATATTGAGGTTGTCAGGGAACTGCCATCAGTACTGGAGGGGGAGAGCGAAAGCCAGAGGGATTCCAGAGAGCGTCCCGGGAGCAGCCCATCTTCTGGGGAAGAGAATCAGCGTAGCACCAGGGGAGAAGGGGGGCAGCTGGAGGAAGTGACGAGGCTGTCTCATGACTCCTTGCCTGGGACCAGCGGGGAGAGTAGGGGTCCTCCGTTGCCCATGCCCTCCCTGCACAGAAGGCTTCCGTGCAGAGAGGGTAGGCGGAGACTAGGCATCAAAGAAATTCTTTGCTGGAAGAAGTTTAAGAAACGCCCACTCATGGATTCTGCCAGCGATTGAGTCAGCCACGGGTGAGTGGCTGTCCGTACAGAAAAGGTTCACTTTGGCAACCCAGCCAGGTGTTTGCACCCAGCCGGGGAGATAGGCACCTGCTTACGCACAAGCAACCCCTAGAACCATTACAGAGGTGATGAAAGAAAGAAAGAAAGAAAGAAAGAAAGAAAGAAAGAAAGGAAGGAAGGAAGGAAGGAAGGAAGGAAGGAAGAAGAGCCTATATTGAGGTGAAGAAAGGAAGAAAGGAGGGAGGGAAAGGGAAAGGGAAAGTGAAAGGGAAAGGGAAAGGGAAAGGGAAAGGGAAAGGAAGATTTCTGTGCAGATTTTCTTTCTTGTGTGTATCAGGTTCATTAGTTACTTCAGAACAAAACAACAAAAATACTAGTTACAGTACATTGGCGACCTTTTTGGTTTCATGAACCAGCTCCTTTCTCCTTAGTGCACTGACCCAAGCTGTCAGCCGACTGGTGACAGTAAGCATTGACCAAAGGGCACCCTGGGAGTCTGTGGCCTGACCTGTACGTAAGTTCACTTAGGCTACCAAAGTGACCCAAAGGGACAAGTTCTAAATGTTTTAGACTGCAACTTCCATAATCCCTGGCCATTGGCCATGTGAGTGTTCTGTCCAGAGGTTCTCCATTTCTTGGGATAAGGAAAGAGAGAGAATGTATCATAAACAGCAAGTTACTGAGAAGGAAGAGTTCGACTGCATACAGAGCTGGGAGACAGAAGGAGCTTAGAAAGAAAGCAGAGCAGCTTGTAATGTGTGGGTTATGGAAAAAGCATAGGAGCTAAGCAGACAGAGGGAGTAACAGAGAAGTAAGCAAACAACAAACATAGGTTGTATATGCATCCAGGAATAGTCAGATTTAAGAATCTGGACCCAGTGAGTGCAGCTTCCAAAAGGGACTGTTTGATTATGAACATGTCTACGGTGGGGAGTGTCTTTTCAACTCAGCTACCTCGGGATACACATGAAGGAAAACTTGAAGAAAAGTCACTCCATGCCAATATCTGCTGAGAGATATTTGGGAATGGAATAAACTTTTGTACCTCATGTATTTTATGTCAAGAGAGGAGCTCTCCCTTAATTAACAACCATATTATATGTATTATTTGGTGAGAGAACTTTTCTGCTAGTGCACAGAACAAAGAGGAGCAAATCATTACTTATTTATTTATTGGTAAAAACAAACCAAGAATTGTGTGCAACACAATAGCTTGAGGCACACAAATGGATGGGGTGGAATTTGATGCGCCTCCCAGAATCCATGTCATAATACAAAACTTTTCTTTTTTAAGATAGAGAAATAAAAAAAAAAATACTAACGCCCATCACCAGCATCTCAGGAGGACACCTTGAGGGATGCTTTGATGAAAGGGATTTTGAGGATGGGGGCAAAGAGTCTCAAAATGAGGTGTCCTGCTGAGCTAGCTAGCATTCATTTTATTCATTTCAGTGGATCATCTGCGGAGTTCTTATGTGGGTTCCATCAGAATTGATGGAAGCTAAAGGCAACTGCAGTGTTTTCTAGACTGTATCCTTTACCACAAATATAATCAGTGTAAATCCAACAACCACTACAAAACAAGTGCCTTCCATTTTGTCAGCTTTCTCAAAACCATTTTTAACAGAACAAATCCCAGTGGTTTCAAGGAAATTCTGCTAAATATCAGAATTATGCACAAATAATGTGATGTGCAAACAATCGGAGCTAGGGAAATTGCCCTTAAACTGGCTAAGCCCCATTGACTTCAGTGGGACTGAACACAGAATCACTGACTCATAGAATTGCACAGTTGAAGGGACCCTGCATTACCTGCTAGTGGAAATGGTTCATGGCTTGAAGGCTGCAGCTGCAATCTATAAGCAAGTCGCTTCAGAAGAATGGTAGAGCAGTTTCTCAGAGGTCAATGGAACATCACTGGGATTATTTCCGTCAACGTGGTCTGTGGATTTGCAGTCTGAGCGCCCAACAGAGTAGAAAATTTAAAAGGTCATGCAGTATTTAAAAGGGCCTCTAGTAGCTCTTCTGTATCTCGAACCTTTAAGGGTAACAACTGTGCCTTATTTCAAAGCTGGAAAAAATAATATTTCCAGTAGACTAAACATGCAGCTTCTATTCTTGTGGATGTATGAGATTTCAAGCATCCCATGGTGACTATTTAATGTCAAGAACAGATTTATTATGGAATGTATAGAATGGTAGGGGGATGGAAAAGAGACTGGCAGAGTTAAAAGAGATCAAAAT